AAAATACATGTAAATGAAAATATATATATATATATATATATATATATATATATATATAAATAAAAAAAAAACATTTCAACTAGTTGTTAAGGCAGTGTTTATAATTTACATTTAGTTAAAAAAATTAAAATAACACTGGTCCTCACACCCTCAGAAAATGAGTTAACACATGGCTGTGAGCACAAATGGACAAGAGGGTAAACGGTGAGGTTTGGGCAGTCAGACAAAATGTACTTAAATACTAGCAAGTGGAGCAACACATCAGCCATGTGATGGTGAGCCAGATTCATCTGGACACTGGGTTCTCATCCCAGGCTGGTTTTGGAAGAGCATAGCCGACAGCATTGAATTATCTCAGGAGAACATCAATAGCATACTCACACTCACATATGCACACACTATTCAGCCAGAACATAGTGCAGACTGGAAGTTTTAGTGCGGTCTGTCTGGGCTTAAACTTGGAGCACAACCCAGATTCAAGCATCAATAATGCAGCATTGACACACACACACACACACACAAATACATCTCACAAATGATTCCTCTTGTCCCTTAAGAGTTGTAAGATATTTACTTTTGCTCTGCTTGCTATAAACCTATGGTTTCTGAGTTTATGCTTTGATGTTTCATTTGCTGAGTCTTGTATTTGCATTTATTGATTATTTGTTCCACTTTCATTTGTAGTCATCTCTACAACTTTGCTCATCAATCCTCATGTTCACCCTTTCTTGTTTTTTCTTTGTTTTTGCCTTTTTTCTAACAGATAAAAAGGTTTCTATTGAACAAGCAAACCATCGTAAGTTTTCCTTTTAATAACAGTGTTTTTTATTTGACACTGCTGCATCTCTCTCTCTCTCTGTGCGCCTGGCTACTAATGTGATTGTGTCTGGGAAACCCAAGGAAAAGTGACTGGAAATATTAATCTATATAGATGCTATACAAGTATGATCAGTGTGTGGTTGTGTGTGTGTTTCCCTCTGTCACTTCTGTCCTGTTCATCTCTGGATATGCTACACACTGTCCTGCATGATAAAGCAGAACCTCATGAGATGAAGTGAAAACATATGAACTGAGAATATGAAATAGAAGACAGCACCTCACAGTCCATTTTTAAATTATATACAGTCACAAGACACTTTTACAGCTTTGGATTTTTTTTAAACGATTTCTATAATTTTTCATTTTAATTAATCATTTAAAGTAATTAAAGCAATTTAAATTTAAAATAAATCAAACATTTTACTCCAAATTCATGGAACGTTTTTGAAACCCAGAAAATGTATATTATTCATTGTAGGATGTCACCATATTTTGGAACTGATGTGGGACAGCCGTTTCTGTTATTGGCTGAGAATCTCAAAATAATCAAATATTGGTTGATTTAATTGGCTTGGCTTCTATACAGGTTATACATTTTATGATTAACATTTATATACTACTTAAGTACTTATATACTGTACTACTTTCAGGCGTAAGAAGTTGTTGGCAAATATATTTAATGTTGGGCATTTTTATCATTTCCAGACTTTTATCTTAGACTCCATGTAATTACTAAAAATGTACAAACGTATTTGTGTTTTTACACTGATTCATTCTGAATAGCATATGCAATTTATAAACACACACACACACACACACACACAGGAAAATGTGCATACGCATTCCTGGAAGATGATGTATAATACATATGCAATCGTGGTTCAGAAATAGAGTGCTTTTTGAAGACACTGAAGTTAATGACTGTGCATCTTACTGGCCCAGAGCGATCAATAGTATAGCTTACAGTTCAAGTGATGCTAATATTCTGAGATCAATGTGACATTCAGCACTTGAGAGACCAAAAAGTAGCGCACCTAATTCGGCTTGGTTCCTTTTGCTATAATAAGTTAAGACGGCTGTCGGATTCACTTTTGTCCTGCCACGTGAGCCCTTTTGCCCACTCTCACTCTTTACAGGCATCTGCTCTCTTCCTCATTCTTTCTCTTCTATGTCTCTTGGGTGCAGTACCTATGTGATCACCCCTATCTCTCCTCTTCTTCTAAAGCCTTTTTATAGCATACTAAACTATGTAAATATAGTACTTAATTCAGCGATGGCTGAATAAAAAAAGAGACAGGGATCAAGAGTCACAAAGAGAGTCCCACAATGCACTGTTAGATCCACAGTACCCCCAAGTGTTCATTCATTTTGGACTTTTAGACCCTTATTATTATCCTCAGACCACCCACAATCTGTTTACTGACCACAAAAATAGCAACTACTGTTCGCAATCACTAGTTACAATCTGATTGGCCGGTGCTACCAAACTTCATTAAAAAAATGTTTTTCATACAAACATATTTTTTACTTTTTTTATTTTTTTTTTTAACGATTATTGATTACTTACCTACTTCATTTATTTATTTATTAAATAAACAGTCCATTTTTAAATTATCTACAGGCATAAGATCCTTTTGCTTATTTTTTGTTTGCTTTATTTATTTATTTTAAATAAACTGTTCATTTTTAAATGATACTTTTTGCAGCTTTGGGAATTTCTTTTTTATGATTATTTATTATTAATATTGTAAATTTATTATTATTATTGAAATTATTTTTATTATTTAATAAATATCATATTAATAGCAAACGCTGTCTGCATTCACCAGTTACAATCTGATTGGCCGGTGCCACGTAACTTCCTAGAATTGAAGCAATGCATATAAACCTCCATAGATGACACATAAACCAAAATAAACTGCGTATGGTCACTTTATGTGTAATTCAAACTGCTATTTTGCTGTCTAAGTGGGTGACTCTTGGCCAAAACAAGCTGCAATCCTGACTTGGCTTTATGTTGATTGATAAATGGGGGGGGAAGTCGTGGCCTAATGGTTAGAGAGTTGGACTCGTAACCCAAAGGTTGTGGGTTCGAGTCTCGTACCGGCAGGGATTGTAGGTGGGGGAAGTGAATGTACAGCGCTCTCTCCCACCTTCAATACCACGACTGAGGTGCCCTTGAGCAAGGCACCGAACCCCCAACTGCTCCCCGGGCGCCGCAGCAAAAATGGCTGCCCACTGCTCAGGGTGTGTGTTCACGGTGTGTGTGTGTTCACTGCTGTGTGTGTGTGCACTTAGGATGGGTTAAATGCAGAGCACTAATTCTGAGTATGGGTAACCATACTTGGCCACATGTCACGTCACTTTCACTTTTCACAAGTCTAGGTACTAACCTTTCTTCTCCTTCCAACCTATATCCTGTATTTTCCACACTTTTGTGTTGCATAATGTATTCATTTACGTCTATGATAGGTTTGCATGTATGAATAAATCTGTACCTGTATGTGTCTCAGCTCTGGGCTCCGGCACTGGTGTAGCAGTGTACGCAGGGCTGGTGGGTGCTTTGCTGCTGTGTGTGATCCTCGTGCTGTGTGTGAGCATCCTGGTCTATCGCTGGAGCTGCCGCCATCTTCACGGTGAAATCACAGATTCGTCCTCGGCCCTTACCGCTGCCTTCCACCCAGGCAACTACAAACCGCCACGACAGGGTGAGACATCCGTGTTTCCTCACCTTCTTTTTTTTCTTTTTCCTTTTTCATTCTCACTCCTTCTCTCACACCTTCAAACCTAATATAAACTCTGTCTTTCAACGTATATGTTAAGTTTTAATCCTTTCTCCTGCTGTCACCTGCTCTCTCAAAACTATTTAATCTGCTATAACTTGTTTATATGGCTCCTCTTTTAAATCCTCTCCCCTTTAATACTTTCATTTCTTAGGCAAATCCTCTCGTAACTTTACAGTGAGCCGGAAACATTTCTTTCTCTCTTTTTGCTTCTCTACTTTGTTAGATAATCCACACCTACTCCATCCGACAGCCCCTCCTGACCTCACAGCCAGTGCCGGAACCTTCCGTGGACCGCTTTTCTCACTGCAGCAGGCCACCCTAGACTCTCAGCACAAGATCCCTATGACCACATCTCCCCTGTTGGACCCACTTCCTAGCCTGAAGATAAAGGTGTACAACTCCTCTACCATGTCCTCCCTCGAGCTGCCGACAGGCCTGGGCTCTACTGACGGGGAGATCATGAGCCTGAAGACTGTGGGCTCTGGATCTAAAGACCACCACAGGCATACGCTACCCAGGGAGCCCAGTCACAGTGCCAGCGCCACACTAGGCTCCCTTGGTGGCCGTCTCACCATCCCTAATACAGGTAATAGGTTTTAAAGGAGCCGGAAATTATGATTTCCTAGTGCCATTTTGATGGCATCCACTTATTTTAGTCAAGTCCACTTATGCTGGATACATTTGTTATTCAAATTTGGTGACCCAAAAAATAATAAATTATGTTTTATATATAATTTTAAATATATATATATATATATATATATATATAAT